ATATCACGTATTTCCTTAGTGCTGTTTAAAGAAATACAGAGTAGAACAAAACAGATACTTGTTGGGAATTTTTGAAAGGTGATGTTTCAGCTGTCCAAGAGGTGCATTAAATAACTCCAGCTTTACTATTAAGTAATGCAGATTTTAAAAACAGTCAAATTAAATGGCATTTCATCTATCAATTGGCAGACATTTAAGATAATAGTACTGAAATCCTTTGGAGGAGTCAGCCATATGGTCGGTCTTTTGGGGCAGCAAGTGGAGAAGGAGCAAGAGGAATTGATACAATTTCTGTGGAAAGCAGTTTGGCAGCATAGATGTTGTGAAGTACGTTGTAACCTTAGTCTCAGTATTTCTACAGCTGGGAAACTGGCCTAGGGAAATATTCTGTTTCCGACATTCCGACAAAATGTTTTATGTATAGAACTATTTGTCATATTTAGAGTAGTAAAAACTGGGAAACAGTCTTAAGTATCCAGCAACAGAAGAATGAATTAGAAATTACTGTACAGTGACACATCCTGTGGCTCCTCAAATTGTTTCAGAGGTTATTTAATGGCATATAATGTCATTAAATACAAATATATTTCATGACATGTCAATCAGTGGCAGGTTGCTTAGTAAAGAGGAAGTTCATGCAGCATAGCACAATTTAAAGAACATAAGATTTCTGTGTGCTTGTAAAATCATAGAAACAAATAAAACAACATGTAGAATGGTTATCTCTGGTGATAGAGTAATGATTGGTATTTTTTCTCCATTATTCATTATCCATGTTATTATCCACTTCTTCTTCACAGCATGTCTTAGTTTTATAAGTAGAAAAACATGAAACATTATTATTAAAGGTGGTTCTTACTAAGTTCTTGGTCTTTCCTTTTTTAAGGATACGGTCTTGACGCAGACGCGTCTTGGCCCACCTGCCGCTCACTCTCTCTCTGACAGTAAAGAACGTAGCAGTCTCGTTAAGCTAAAAAGTGAAGTCAAGCATGAAGCATCTGTGGAAATTCAGAATCCAGACCTGAACACCCATAAAAAATGTTTTTTTACTTTTTCGTTGAATAAACCCTCTGGGAAATCAGACTTTAGTGTGTTTACAGCACATGGTAAACTCACAGAGAATATCTACTCAGCCCTGAGAGCAAATGGCAATTTCAGTAAAAGGATGGAGAAGCATCTTAATAAGAACATCTTTGTTTATGAAAAGAATACAATACGCGGATATGTAAATTTAGGAATGCCTCTCAAGTGCCTACCTGAAAATGCCCATTTTAATATAACACCTGGTCCAAAAAAGAGTGACCTGGAAGATGACCAGATACTACGCCAGTGTGAAGATCCGAACATGGAATGCGTTCTTTTTCATGTGGTTTCTGTTGGAAGGAATGTAAAGAAGATTCTCAGGATCAAGGAAGTTTACGAAAAAGGAAGTACACTTTGTATCTATGCCTTAAAGGGTGAGACTATCAAAGAAGCTCTAGTCAAGGATGGCCGATTTCGTTCTGACCTTGACGAGTTTGAATGGGAAATAAGGGAAGATCATCAGAAAATTCATGGAAAACAGTCCCTGGTGGATGAAGTATCTGGAAAAACCTTAGAAATGGACATTTTTAAGAAACGTGTCAGTAAAGGTGCCCCTAAAATAAGGAATAAACAGAATGAAAATGCCAATGATGAAACCAGTCCCTGGAATCAGATACAGTCTGAGATCAAAGAACAGGAACCAGAGACAGATGGGGACACTGAAGATGTAGAGGCCAACAGAGAAAAAATCGTCCTACCTCAGAATCTAGCGCATGATATTGCAGGTAAAAAGCGACGCACAATTTCTAGAATTAGGAATTATTATAGTAATAGTTTCAACAGAAGACACTGGAAGAATAACTCAAGACATAGGCAAAAGCCCCATGTGGTTATGCAGCATGTTATTAAGCAAACTATCCCGAGGACAGCAACTGACCTCTGGCTAAAGAATTGCCAATTGTTCAACAAAAGTATAATGGATCAATACCCAAATTTGAAGGAGGAAGCACTTCGGATGAGAAAGTATTTTCAGGATGAAAAGAGGAGAACCAAACTGACAAGCTTTCAACAGTTCAACGTATATAAAAAGTATTTTGGAAAAGTGACTGAAAATTCTACTTCAGTTGCAACCTGTGAAGATCTTCTCCATCTTAGTGAGTCAGTTGGGATCATGACATGGAACAATAATGGAATCACAGGGAATGCTACTTGCTTTGTCTTCAATCATGATTATATTTTCACCTGTCGGCATGTAATACATTTTATGGTGGGAGAAGGCAGAGATCCAAGGTTTTGGCCAGATATAATAAGCAAATGTGCAAAGGTATCTTTTAATTATAAAAGGTTCTTCCCTAACAATGTTGATTGGTATGACATTGAGCCATGGTTTGAAGTGTCTGATGGACCTCTAGATTATGCCATTTTAAAGCTAAGCAAAAATAGAAATGGATTTCCTCCAGGCCTGTTTAGACGAATTTCCTCTCCACCGCCTGATGGTTTGATTTATATAATTGGTCACCCAGAAGGCCAGGTCAAGAAAATAGATGGCTGTGCTGTGGTTCCTGTAAATCAGCGGTTAGAGAGGTACCCAGAACAGCATCGAGATGAGGTGGTAGGACCCCATGCTGCCACTTACAATGCTTTCTCTATGTTCACCCAAAGAAGTTTCCTACCAGAAGTCTGTAACACTAACACACTTAGCTATGATACCTGTTTTTCCAATGGGTCCTCTGGCTCCCCAGTGTTTAATACATCTGGTGAATTAGTTGCTATGCACACTGTTGGGCATTTTTATGCTCATGGTGGTAGAGAACATGCCATTATTGAATTTGGCTATTCTATGTATTCAATTCTTTATGATGTTAAACAGAAGAATGAGAGGTTGTATAAATTCTTAATGGAAGAGAACAATGAGAACCATAATGAAAATGATAACAAACAAGAGTTGTTTCAGTCTCATCAGACTGTACCCATGGAACACTAGGAAAAAAAAATGTTTTATTCAAGAAAATATGCCAATAGCTTAGAGTATTGGGGGCTGTTTCCTTAAAGTGTAATGAATATTCTTTTTATTTTTATTTTTTAAAAATTTGTCAGAGAGAGCACAAGCAGGGGGAGTTGGAGGCAGAGAAAGAAGCAGGCTCCCTGCTGAGCAAGTGTCACATATACCCTGATGTGTATTGTTAACCCGAGCAGCATTGCTAACAATAGCCAAACTACGGTAAAAGCCCAGGTATACATCAGCTGATGAATGGAAGATGTGGGGGCACCTGGGTGGCTCAGTTGGTTAAGCAACTGCCTTCTGCTCAGGTCATGATCCCCGAGTTCCAGGATCGTGTCCGACATCTGGCTCCCAGCTCCATGGGGAGTCTGCTCCTCCCTCTGATCTTCTCTTCCCTCAAGCTCTCTCTTACTGTCTCTCTCTCAAATAAATAAATAAAATCTTAAAAAAAAAAAAAAGAAATGGAAGATGTGGTATATATTTGCAGTGGAATATTACTCAGCCATCAAAATGATGAAATCTTGTCATTTGTAATAATGTGGATGGAGCTAAAGTGTCTTATGCTAAGTAAAATAAGTCTGAGAACGACAAATACCATGATTTTATTCATGTGGAATTTAAGAAACAAAGCAGATGGATGTATGGGGAAGGGGGAAAAATAAGAAGAGAGAGGGAAACAAACCATAAGAATAAACTGAAGGGTTGATGGGGGGAGATGGGTGGGGGATGGGCTAAATGGGTGATGAATATTGAGGAAGGCACTTGTCTTGTTGAGCACTGGGTGCTGTATGTATGTGATGAATCACTAGACTCTACTGAAATTAATATCACACTATATGTTAACTAGAATTTAAATAGAAATTTGAAGAAAATAAATAATATCTCTAATTTGCAACTAAGATTGTAAATCAGATTCTTTAAAATAGATGCACTTGCCTCTTATTGGGAGATAGAAATAAGATGGAGACCATCTTTTCTCTTCTGGCAAACAATGTCATAGAGAAATGAGTGTCTAGAGAGAGTAGTGTTGGCCACCGTTAAGTGTCAGTGTCTAGTCCTCAGCTTCATGTGTATTGAAGAGTGATTGCAAGCAGTAGCAGCAGCTAAAATATCCATATTGCGATGTCTGGTCATTTACTTTGATAGTGTGGAGAGGCATTTTTAACAGCTTCCTCATCCACCTTCCTGATCCCTGGTTTCCAACTAAGAGGGTGAATTCTTGAACTCCATTCCAGCGCTGGCCCTTTGAATCCCTCCCACTGCTTTTGTCATTCTAAAGATGTTCTAAGGATGGCTGGGGAGCTCATTGGTATAAGCATCCAACTCTTAGTTTCATTGGCTCCAGTCATGATCTCATGGGTTAGGGGATTGAGCCCTGTGCCAGGTTCTGTGCTTAGCTTGAAACATTCTCTCCCTCTGTCCCTCCCTGCCCTCACAAATAAATACATCTTCTAAAAGTGTTCTAGCAATTAATCCCTTCAGTTGAAACTCTTTTACCCGCACAGATCTCTGATACACTCTTCCTACCAACTAGCCTTTGATTGTCCAAATATGTGATCGCCTCTCAGTTGTGCTGAAGCCATAAATCTCAGAGAAATTGTTGGTTCAGAAACTCTGTATCTGTATGTGTGTTAGAAAGGTACAGGAACAACTGCTAAATTTCAAAAGAAAAATAGAATGAGGTTATTTCTCACATGGTAGTGTAAAGATACAGCCCTCTGTGGTTGTGGGAGTTTCAGGGTGTGATGGTGTTAGGTTTTCTCTGTCAGGTCAAAGATGGCCACTAAACCTCTGGCTAACACACCTACACAACAGCCAGGAGTAGAACAAAAATGTACAAAAGGGGAGTATACCTCTTCTTAAGAACACCATCTAGAAAACGCATATATCACAGCTGCTGGTAACCGTTGTCTACAACATGGTTGTGTAGCTCACTTAACTGAGAGTTAGGCTGTGAAATGTGGTGTTTTTCTGGATGACCAGATAGATGCCCAGCCTTAAATTTTCTTGCTTTGGAATAAAGGGAAAATGGATTTTGGATGATCTATCATGTCAACCCACTCATCTAGCCTCTCTGGTATCTATATACACTCTTCTTTCCACTTACAAAGCATACTTCGCCACCCACAAGATAGTCCAGAATTCTGGGTCACATGCATGTCTCCCCATCATGTCTGGATGCAGCTCCTCATAGCCAGAGATGAATCTGCCTGTTCCCTTTCACCCTACTCACACACCCAATAGACTGTGGCAGAGTATGGCCAAAATCCAACCTCTTAAAGTAAAATTTCAATTCAGAAAAGAGAATGGAAAACACAACTGTTACAGCCCCGTAGCAGTGATCAAATTCTCTTGGGCAGAAAGTGCAGGGTGCCCAGCTCTAGCAGGGAGCACAATTTTAGGTCACTGCAGTTGTTGGTCACTGCTCATGGCAGTTGGAATTGCCTTGACCTTTGTCCTTCAAAACCTCGGATTTTGTCCTTCAGGTTGTTCTTTTCTATTGTTTTCTGTGGCCATTTCTTTTTCTTCTGTAAAGTCCAGTTATAATAACTTAGGATTTATGTATAGTAAAATACATCGCTTTTGGTATATAAGTCTATGAATTCTGACATATACATATACTGGAGTAATTACTACCACAATCAAAAAGTTAAGCAGGATTTTTTTTATTAATTTTTTAAATTTATTTTCATTGTAACAGTATTCATTGTTTTTGCACCACACCCAGTGCTCCATGCAATCCGTGCCCTCTCCAATACCCACCACCTGGATCCCCCAACCTTCTACCCCCTGCCCCTTCAAAACCCTCAGATTGTTTTTCAGAGTCCATAGTCTCTCATGGTTCACCTCCCCTTCCAATTTCCCTCAACTCCCTTCTCCTCTTCATCTCCCCTTGTCCTCCATGCTATTTGTTATGCTCCACAAATAAGTGAAACCATATGATAATTGACTCGCTCTGCTTGACTTATTTCACTCAGCATAATCTCTTCCAGTCCCGTCCATGTGGATACAAAAATTGGGTATTCATCCTTTCTGATGGAGGCATAATACTCCATAGTGTATATGGACCACATTTTCCTTATCCATTCATCCGTTGAAGGGCATCTTGGTTCTTTCCACAGTTTGGCGACCGTAGCCATTAAGCAGCATTTTTTAGAAAACATAGTACAAGCTTCCAGAAATTTAAAGATAATTTCAGTCAGTGTATAGCTTTCCCTAACTTCTAGGAGCAATCTGGAACATGTTCCATGGTGAGGTGATAAATTTGCTGTTAATTTTCATTTCTTTTACGTCTGGAACATTCGAATCAGAATCCAGTCTATACATTACATTTGGTCCATAGGAGTCTCTTCAGTCCCTTTTAATGTATAAATTCCCCCTTTATCTTTTCCTGACATGTATTTATTGAGTAAAGTGGATCGTACTTGTCCTGTAGAATATTCCACATTCTGCACCTTGCAATTCCATCCTTGTGGTGTCATTTAATGTATAGTTGGAGTCCCTGTATTTCCAGTAAGTGGTGGTTAAATCTAGAGGCTCAATTATATTCAGTTTGGACTTTTTGCCAAGAATACTTCCTAGGTGATTCTAAGGAAAGTCTGGCCTTACATTTACTGTGGGCCAATATCTGGTCCTCATATCCCTTAGCGTCATGAGATTCAGGATAACTCCCACTAGCTTTCTAAAACTGAGCACTGAATTGAATGTCATAGGAACTCACCACTTCCAGGAACTGAGCAGAAATCATTTTCCATCCTCATTCATCAACCTTTAAAATGTACTCCCACAAAATTCCCTGGTTGTGGATGGCAAAGTTTAGCAACTCTTGAAAATTCTCTTTGTAAAAAACTTTTCCCATGCCTTCTGAAAGTCACCCTCAGATCATAGTAAGTTTAATTCTCGTGTGAAGGTTAATGTTATTATCAACTTAACTCAACCACAAGGTGACCAGATACTTGGTCAAATATTATTCTAGGTGTTTCTGGGAGGGTATTTTTTTTTTTAATGAGATTAACATTTAAATTGGTAGACTGAAGAAAGCAGTTTGCTCTCCCTAATGTGGGAGGGCCTCATCCAGTCAGTTGAAAGCCTGAATAGAACAGATTTATTTGGGAGACCCCCAAGTAACAAGGTATGCTTCCTGTATGGCTGTCTTTGAATTGGGACATTGACTTTTTCCTGTCTTAGTACTTGAACTGAAACATTGGCTCTTTTTGGGTCTCAAGCTTGCCTGGTTCTCAGACGTTCAGACTCAAATTAGAACTTCACCAGCAGCTTTTCTGGGATTCCATTTTGCTAGCTCACCTAGAATATCCTGGAACTTTCCAGCATCCATAAGCACATGAATCAACTTCCTATAAAAAATCATATTATTTTATATATGTTTATGGATTATGTTCCTCTGAAGAACCCTAATACATATGGGAGCAGGACCTCTACAGTGAGACATAGGCCATGAGGGAAACATCATCTTTCTCTTACCCAGAAGACAAAAGAGAAGCAGCAAAGAGGATGTGTCATTCAAGTTTAGGGGCTGCTATTTTCCATGTCTTAGAAGCCTCCCAAATACCATAACACCAATTCTACGAAACTTCCCTATCCTTTGTAAATGAATGTCTTTAATTTCACAAACAGGACAGGGAAATCTGTATATGCAGTTGCCACTGGAATTCAGTAATATAAAAATATCAGAGTTCTAGTAAAGATGAGATAGATATTTCAGACCAACTCTTCCACACACCCCCCCCACACACATAGAGGCACACTGAACAACAAGAAAAATCTAGACTTAAAATAGGAAATGCCTGTGTGAAGGCATCAAAGCTGTAGCCAAAGAAGATACCAAAGCAGTATTCTACCGAAGTACAGGGCCAATATCCCAGTGAGGAGGGAAACCCAAACAGGTCAGTTCTGTAGTTAGTACTGATTTTACCTTAGAGGCACCTGCCAGTTCCAGAGATGACTGGGAGGCTGAGAAGCTGACCAGACATTTGAAGACAATCATGAAGCTGAGAAGGCACAAGAATTAGAGCTTAAGGCCTATCAAGTAGTAGGGGTTCTGGTAAACACAGGATTTGGAATGCAAAGTGTTGCATTCATAAATAAAAATGTTCCAGATATTGTCTCAGCCTTCACAGGGATACAAGTCAGTTTGAAATCATCTCAGTCCAAATTAGGTTAAGGTGACTGGAGATTACTAGGGATGCCAGTCCAACCATCCCCCAGAATGAATTGTAAAGTCTCTTTGGAG